CCTATATCCATAAGCATATATCCCTACCCTTAATACAATCGTAACCCTAACGCCAACCCCATCGCCCTACAGGACTCAGCCCACTGATCCCATCGCCCGAAGCGCGGCTGCCCAATCCTGCGCCCCACCCCCGCGCATGCGCCGTGCGGCTCTGCGCGGATCTTTGTTCGCCGCGATCAAAACGTCACTCTGCGTTAGCGGCGCCGCGCAGAGACGCGCTCCCAGTTCCCTCGCTCCCGCTCCTCCCTCTGTCCAAAGCACTCGCTGCTCTCACCCTCTCTCTCCATCTCTCGCTCACTCCCTCCAGCGCTCTTTCTCCTCTACCACATTGTAGCCGTCCCACTCTCTACAGCTCTCTCTCTCGAGGTCCCCCACTCAACGTATAGTTCGCACTCCCTCCAGCCCTCTTTTCAATGTACCCAACTCTCCCACTACTCTCCAGCTCTCCCTCTTTCTCTCTCACCCGCTATCCCCCTCTGTGTCCTGCTCTCTCTGCCGCTCGCTGCATCGCTTTCCAGTCTCCCGCCCGCTCTCTCGGCCTCCCCTTCACTCTCTCCCGCTCTCTGAACTCCGAGCCCAGCGGGGGACGGGGGGAGGCTGCTGGAGCACGTGCCCCCCACCCCTGGCCGCCGTTAATTTTATCAAACCCAGACACTGCCCCCCGCAGAAGCCCCCCTCCCCCCCCCACTAACTTTAGAAGCTATAATAATGTATTTTTAAATCAGTCTATTATTACCCAGTCGTCAGTCTGCTGCTCGCACAACTTAATCGGAATTCATTTGCACGCCACATCCATCTCCCCTTAGTTGGCCCTAAACCCGGGCATATGATTATAGGAAATACGGTACAATAATATGGGATGATCATGCATATGCAAACATTGTACCCTAGTGTTCGTGCGTTACGCCGATAATCCCAACTCAATGCCAGCCTTAGAAGCGCTCCGGATAATATCGACCGAGAAATTAGGCCTCGAGTTTAGACAACAAACTCATCATGACCCCCCCCCCCCCACTCGTCCACCCCCCCCCTCTCGCCCCCTCCACCCCCACTCCACCCCCACTCTCGCCCCCCCGCCACTCTACCAATTCTCGTCACCGCCACTGAGTTCCACATCCGCTGTGATGGCACAGGGCTCCTCCTCGCGGCAACCCGAGTTCGATCCCCGGGTTCGTAGCACGGGAAACTCGCAGCCTTCCATGCACAGACGCGCACAGTGCCACAGTGCGTGCTGTTGGCTCCCTGCCCTAGCACCACGACCTTCCTCTCTGCCTCTGCCTATGCTCGGCTATCTCCTTACAAAATAAGCCCTGCCGACTCTTTCTGTACAGCCTCTTGAATTGGAGTTGCATTTAGATGCTGGCAAATCCACATCGTGTTGCATGGAATACATGATAATAATAATGTATACGTTTAAAGCACATTTCACCCGTAGCTCGCAAAATGCTGCGAATCAACACGCTTACATGTACTTGTCTATGTACGTCTCAACGCACGTGCAATCTTCATTCATTCACCAAAGACCGTCTATGCAATGCCATCCAGCCAAGACAGTCTCCGTAGACTGCCGGGAATGTGCCGTTGGCGGGCGAGTATAAGCGACTTGGCCACAAATGAGAGCTCAACGAAGTAGCGTATCATGTGGAAATGTATAGCAAGGCCGTTAGGGCGTACGAGGGGGTGGTGTGGTCAGTACTACGCCACTCTATCACTGTGCACCCAATGGCATGGTAATCACCAGCACGTTTATCCGTTACCACTGTATCCACACAACATCTGGGATGCACGCTGGGTCCAAACAAGAACATCTGTTGCACTGCCCAGTTGCCGGCTCGCGACGACGGCCCACGTGCTTGATATCAGGGCCTATCGTGGACCTGGTTTGCCCCCTGACCATCGCCTTGTTATTTGTCACCCATAAGATGCACGCCATTCAAACGCACGGCAGCTTGGTCCCAGCTGATGAAAGTAGCAAGCGAGAACCCCGACCCTAAACCCCGGCCACTGCCCCCGCACCCCGTGTGCACGAGAGATATGGTTACTACTGCTCTGGTTGCATTGGTGGCTCAGTCCAGCCAGACCTCGCCAGAAACCCTGGCTGACTGAGGAGGTGTTCCAGCTACCTGAGATATAGCGGCAGGCCCAACCTCACCGTCTACAACGTCCCGTGTTTAGACGAAGTGTCACGGGCAGCACTGGGCACTTGCAATCCAGAGGTCCGTATGTATGTAGACCTTCTTTGTATGTATGTACAACTTATTTGTACGTATGTATGTTGACCTATCGCACTGTACATAGCCAACCGTGGTAATCGGAGGTTCGAGTCAACCTCGGGTGTGTATAGTGGGGTAAAGTGTGGACGCTTCCTAAGGTCTGTTCAGCGTGGAAGAGTAGACCAAATATTATCGAGTGCTCTCACTCATGGCGTGAACCAGGCTGACGGATTACAGTCAGCAGTTCATCTCCCTGTGCATAGATCGTCCTAGGAAGATGACATCACCGAGTTAAGTCTGAAATCACTGGAAAACAAACAAACTAACAAACCGATGTATCCACACACGCGCCACGGGTGTTATGTGCGGTGCAAATAGTGGTTGTGTTTGTTCAGTAGCAATTCATCTGAATCGTGGTAATCTTAGAAATGCAATGAGCCAAACTTTGTTTCGTGTTCAGTCATTGGTGGCTGGGATGATACTTTCTTCTTCACTTGAGAACCCGGTTTAACCACAGGGGGCTGAAACTGGAATTGAACTCAGGTTCTGAGCTCGTGACCTCATTTGCCGGGTCACACAGAGGGTGTCTCCTTGGCACTTAACGATGTATTGATTCATGAACATCGATTCTAGAGAGTGTGGGAACTAATTTAATTTACAATTCATGCAGACGAGATGCTGGCTTTAAACCTGGGCTAGAGGAGTGGACGGACCTAAAACACAGGGAAACGGAGAATCATGCAAATCAGAGGGCAGCAGGAGATCAATAAATGTATGTCCTGAAATCAAATCGCGATCCCGAATCCTGACAATTCATCGCTTTGTTTCGACAGAGAACGTGTCTCCTACTTGCGTTCTCCCCATGCCTCTGTCATTGCTCTCCATGCTTCTGTCATTGCTCTCCATGCCTCTGTCATTGTTCTCCATGCTTCTGTCATTGCTCCCCATGCTTCTGTCATTGCTCCCCATGCATCTGGCATTGCTCCCCATGCTTCTGTCATTGCTCCCCATGCTTCTGTCATTGCTCCCCATGCATCTGGCATTGCTCCCCATGCTTCTGTCATTGCTCCCCATGCCTCTGTCATTGCTCTCCATGCTTCTGTCATTGCTCCCCATGCTTCTGTCATTGCTCCCCATGCCTCTGTCATTGCTCCCCATGCTTCTGTCATTGCTCTCCATGCTTCTGTCATTGCTCCCCATGCTTCTGTCATTGCTCCCCATGCATCTGTCATTGCTCCCCATGCTTCTGTCATTGCTCCCCATGCCTCTGTCATTGCTCCCCATGCTTCTGTAATTGCTCCCCATGCCTCTGTCATTGCTCCCCATGCCTCTGTCATTGCTCTCCATGCTTCTGTCATTGCTCCCCATGCCTCTGTCATTGCTCTCCATGCTTCTGTCATTGCTCCCCATGCTTCTGTCATTGCTCCGCATGCTTCTGTCATTGCTCCCCATGCCTCTGTCATTGCTCCCCATGCCTCTGTCATTGCTCTCCATGCTTCTGTCATTGCTCCCCATGCTTCTGTAATTGCTCCCCATGCCTCTGTCATTGCTCCCCATGCTTCTGTCATTGCTCCCCATGCCTCTGTCATTGCTCCCCATGCCTCTGTCATTGCTCCCCATGCCTCTGTCATTGCTCTCCATGCCTCTGTCATTGCTCCCCATGCTTCTGTCATTGCTCCGCATGCTTCTGTCATAGCTCCCCATGCCTCGGTCATTGCTCCCCATGCTTCTGTCATTGCTCCCCATGCTTCTGTAATTGCTCCCCATGCTTCTGTAATTGCTCCCCATGCCTCTGTCATTGCTTCCCATGCTTCTGTCCTTGCTCTCCATGCTTCTGTCATTGCTCCCCATGCTTCTGTCATTGCTCTCCATGCCTCTGTCATTGCTCCCCATGCTTCTGTCATTGCTCCCCGTGCCTCTGTCATTGCTTCCCATGCTTCTGTCATTGCTCCCCGTGCTTCTGTCATTGCTCCCCATGCCTCTGTCATTGCTCCCCATGCTTCTGTCATTGCTCCCCATGCCTCTGTCATTGCTCTCCATGCTTCTGTCATTGCTCCCGATGCTTCTGTCATTGCTCCCCATGCTTCTGTCATTGCTCCCCGTGCTTCTGTCATCGCTCCCCATGCCTCTGTCATTGCTCCCCATGCTTCTGTCATTGCTCCCCTTGCTTCTGTCAATGCTCCCCATGCCTCTATCATTGCTCCCCATGCTTCTGTCATTGCTCCCCATGCTTCTGTCATTGCTCCCCGTGCCTCTGTCATTGCTTCCCATGCTTCTGTCATTGCTCCCCGTGCTTCTGTCATTGCTCCCCATGCTTCTGTCATTGCTCCCCATGCTTCTGTCATTGCTCCCCATGCTTCTGTCATTGCTCCCCATGCTTCTGTCAAGCCTCACTGACCAACCTCGCACTCCGACTTGGGATTGGTTGCAGCCTTTGCTGAATCTCAGCCGGAAGAGCCCAGAATGCTGTGGCGGGATTGTGTTGACCACTCCACATACATCTCGCCTCGTGTTGTCCTCGCGGCACGTATTTCGTCTTCATAAAATTGATTGTAGGAATGCAGGGACGAATAAAAAGAGATTACTATGGATAGGCGGATCTTGTACGCCAGTGGTAAGTCCCTGACGCCGAGAACCCCACTCCAGGCCAGCCTTAGTAGAGGAGCAGAAGGTATTGATTGCGAAATGAAGCCCTGCTTTTTCCATCTGCAGCTAAATGTTGCCAACCGCAGGCGCAGGGCTGTTCAGGGACAGAACACTGAGTGTGGCGTTGTGCGCGCGTTCCAGGCCCGCGCAACCGCAAGCCCAAGAAGTCAGCGGGCGGTGCGAGCGGAGTCGCGGGGGGAGGCGGCGCGGCAGCGGCGGCGGCCGCGGCGGCCGCGGTGCCGACAGCCGGGGTCGGGGCCGGCGAGGAGAAACGACCTCGGACCGCCTTTTCCTCCGAGCAGCTGTCGCGTCTCAAGGCCGAGTTCCAGGCGTCGCGGTATCTCACCGAGGCGCGGCGCCAGGCCCTCGCCCAGGAACTTCAATTGAACGAGGCTCAGATCAAGATCTGGTTCCAGAACAAGCGCGCCAAGCTGAAGAAGGCGAGCGGAGTGCGCAACCCGCTCGCTCTGCACCTCATGGCGCAGGGGCTCTACAACCACTCCGCGGGCTCCGGGGGCGCCAGGGGGGCGGCGGCGGGGGGGGAGAGGACGGACAGCGAGTGACGCGTGGGGGTGGGGGGAAGGAGGGAGAAAGAAGAAGATTCCGAGGATGATGTTTTGTTTTGCCGTGTCGTGTGAACTCGCAGATTCGCTCGCTTACGATGAATGCACTCGGGTGATCACTCAACAGTGCACTCACTCGTTCACGTACTCGGCTGTGCACTCACTCAAACACCCATGTGTTTACGCACCCACGCACTTATTTACAGACTTACTCAACATTTAATTCACTCATGTGTGCGCTCGTGCACTCACCCACGTGACCCTTTCCATCCTACACACTCACACGCACGTTCACACTCAACACACACACTCATATATAAACACACACACACATATTCACACTCACACACAGTGACACGCACTCTCTGTCTCTCACCCCACACGCACGCACAGACGTTGCGAGGCACAGCGCGCGCCCCAGGCCGAGCGTTCAGCCAGCGGGGCCCCGCACAACCGCACCTCACTGCAGTGTTACCGATAGGGTCCGTTACATCGACCTCTTCACACTACCGATAACTGGTTACCGGTTTGCTGTACGTATCGAAATGTGCGTCATTAAACGTAACGCGTTTGGCATTTTAACTGAGAAACGAAGGGAGCTGCCACCGTGGATTAACGGTGAGCAACACAACGGACTTCCATCTTACGGCGCGGCATTTCAAACAGTCGCCCGTGTTCACGCAGCGGTGCAAACGGCTTCACCGCACTTCACTCCATCGGCAGGGTCGCGTGTGGTGGGGTAAAGTGTGGGAACGCCCACCTCTTCCTACAAACAAAACACAGGAAACGGTTACCGACCGGCTCCTGACTTTCAGAACCGGTAACCAAATACCAAAAAGGTTACCGGTTTATCGGGTACCGTTGAGCAACCCTCAGTGTTATTAGTATTGTAATACACGTCGCCTCTGCTTTAGTGATTCAGGAGCTCAGCCTCGGACCGCTCCGGCTGAAATGAAGCCCCGGAGAGAGTTACACTGAGGAGTGAAATATAAAATATGGACAATTTACTGAGCAAAGAAAATTACGTTTCAGGTCGTGCGCCTTTTGAAGTTTTTAATTTACAAGATAAGACTGTTGGTCTTACTTATAATGTAATTACTATATAATGTGGCTTTATATGTCGTCTAAATGTAACCGCATCTAAAGACCCGATAGGAAGAGCAGCCGGTATATTTATTGCGTAGAGAGAAAGTGGCAGAAACAGTCATAGATCTCTGTGTGAGTCTATGGATATCTGTGTGAGTCTATGGATATCTGTGTAAGTCTATGGGTCTCTGTGTGAGTCTGTGGGTCTCTGTGTGAGTCTGTGGGTAAATCTGGAGAGAGAGAGATGCAGTCAGTCACACGCAGAAGGTAAAAGGGAAGGTCCTGAATCGAGAGTTCAAGACTGCAGGGGCAGCAGAGCCGCATGAGCCGACTTCCCATGGAGTGAAGCTTGGCTGGGGGGTTGGGTAGAAATCCTTACGAAGGCTGGTTGACCGAAACGTCGAATCTTCTCAGAGATACCCTTACCCCGTATTATTTATATTGTTGTCACACGTTAGACCCCGGCTTTAGCGCGTGTAGAATTCACTTTGTGTGCGTGAATGTAGCTATAATGATGTCGTGTTTATGATTTGACAAACGCGATCACAAACCAAATGAAGAATATTTATCTTTTTAGTTACGATTCTCACGATCGCGGTGCACGCCTCGAATAGTGAATACCGAGTGCAGGTGCACACATCCGCCCCCTTTTGTCTATCCACTGCTGGATGAGGCCCCCTCGCCCCTATACGTCGCATGGGTCGTTGGGGTTATTCGACCATACTTCTCCACGCTGGTCAGTGCTGGTCGGTGAAAGGCGGGGGAACTTGGATTGTGTGGCAGCATAGACGTGCAGTACAACTGTTTTGTATATTGCCGTTCTGTCCTCTGGTGACGACGTAGCAGCAGCCTGTAGTACCTGTTTTGCACGGTGGTTGCCCATCCCGGCACGAGAATTCACGGTTTCTGCAATGTATTTTCCAATATTACCTCGAGGGTAAAATGTCTTCGTGGTGTGGTGATCAGCACACTTGACTTGCAATGCAAGTCCTGTCCCACGGCCCTTGTCTACCCTGCAGCGCAGATAGATACAAAGCATCTGATCGGTGGCTCATGTGTGATGGGGTAAAGTATGGGTGCGACTACCTATTTTAAAACGTCTGGTTAGCGTGGAAGAGCAGCCCAAAGCACCCTGCAGAGATAACTTTGTAGTGGGGGCCCTTCTGCTCGCAGTGGTTTGAGCAAGGAATTGCAGGGCTGCACCTTCACCCCGTCTCTCTGGGGTCATGGTCGGAACCAAAGAGTCCCACCGAGGTACAGAGAGTAAGCGACTCTCCAATCGAATCGCGGAGTCGCGGGGCCGAATCGACGGTTGTGGCAGCGGAGTCGCACAGGCACCAGCTAAACAACAACAACACTCACCACCATTATTAGCTCTGCCTTTAACGGACATATAGCGAACGTGAATGACGTTTTGCACAATGGTCCTTCTTCAGGGCAGAGGGAAGATAAAGAACGAGTGACTACTCGTCATGAGGCATGGGGCACCTCTACGCGTCATCTCAGGGGTCCAGAGACTTCACAGCGGAGTCGTCTCCCGCGCACGCGCTGCGAACCCCGCCGCTCCGCCTGCTGCTCGGCTGCCTTCCATCTCATCCCTTCGGCTACCTTCCATCTCATCCCTTCAATTGCCTTCCATCCCCTTCGGCTGCCTTCCATCCCCTTCGGCTGCCTTCCATCTCATCCCTTCGGCTGCCTTCCATCCCCTTCGGCTGCCTTCCATCTCATCCCTTCGGCTGCCTTCCATCTCATCCCTTCGGCTGCCTTCCATCCCCTTCGGCTGCCTTCCATCTCATCCCTTCGGCAGCCTTCCATCCCCTTCGGCTGCCTTTCCATCCCCTTCGGCAGCCTTCCATCGCCAACCTCCCGCGTGTCCGCCTCAACCCTTTAGTGCCCAAGTCCACTCACGTCATCCAACAGAGATACACCAATGGATGTATCGTTAATCTTACAGAGCAATGCAAACAAAGAGATTCAACTTACTTTTATAAACACTTCATTACACGATATATAGTTACGAGGGTAATGTTTCGGGCAATGACTCTTCTGCAGAACGCAGAGCAGAATTTTGACTGTCTTACTGACTGAGAGTACAATTGACCGACTTGTGATAAACTTTTTCAAAGATAACAAACGTTACAGTATCTTCGTTAACTTTATAAAATATAACAAACATATTCTTTGGGTCTTTCCGTAAAGTCACGTAGATAGGTTCAAATAAAAAAACTACGACGTTTTGATCACAACACAAGCGATCGTCATCAGGAGAAAAGAAATGACGATCGCTTGTGCTGTGATCGAAACGTAGTTTATTTATTTGAACCTATCTACGTGACTTTACCGAAAGACCAAGATAATATGAATTCCTGCAGTCACGAAGCTTTAAGTCAAGATATAACAAACATTACATTATCTTAAGCTATCGTTTCTGTCTCTCTACTACGTTATCAGGAAAACGAGAATAACTTTGTCCAAAACCCAACCCGGTATTCCCTCTATTGGCGTTACCGCATTCGTGAGCTGATGTCATGCATCGCAGGTTAATTAAATATGAATATGATGAAGTTGTATCACTCAGAGTGACAGTAAACACAATCTTATTATTTTGAAGCAGCTTTAATTTACGTTTTGTCTATTATATATTGTTTTCCTGTCACGAGGCAGAGTGAATGGCCGAGTCGGCGAGCCGTATCATTAGTATATCGGGAATGCGTGTCGCACATGCACTACTGGTGGGGTAAAGTGTGGGCACGCCCACTGCTTCCAACACGTCTGGTCAACGTGGAAGAGTCGACCAACTACCCTCCAGTCAGCTCTATAGTGGAGGCCCATACATACATGAATATGTGCATATCTACACCCATACGTGCATACATGTACACGTATATGCAGTCAGACATGTATAACACAGAGGGGGCACGCGCTGTGATGCGTGTTACAGACACGTCGTGATTCTCCTAGCTGCGTGCCGAATCACACATACACATATGCACACGTATGTGCGTGCGCCCACGCAAGCACACATATACATGTGTAAATACACGTGTACACACACACACCCGCGCGCACACATTAACTTACATATAACGCGTAGATACATACACGTTCACATGCTGATATACACAGATGCACGTACCGACACACACCTGCACATATACATACGTACAAACACACGCGTGTACACATAAATATGTATAATCACATGAACACACGGGTATATGTGTACTCATAAATTCTGATATGCAAAGACACACGCATACACATACAAACGGGCAAACGCAGAGAAACATGCGCACACGTATACAACTGCAAACACAGACACACATTCATACAATATCCACAGAAACACATAGACACACATGCATACACGGCTACACATACGCAGACAGTATATTTAGCTACAATGTTCCACGAACTTAACAATACGCACACGTGTGCATGTGGATCCGTGGCTACACACACGTGTGTGCCCTCATTTCATGATATTTTTTGTACTCTATATGGTATGATGATTACGGAAATACGAATCGCCTTTTAACCGTCCGGTATTTAAATAAATATTTAAACAAATGCCAGCCCACGCGGAAGCAAATCGCTCCGGTACTTGTTCAAATCTCTTGCTTTCCAATCCGAGTTTGCCGAGTGTAGCGTGTGACGAGCGAGTGCTGTGTAACGTGAGCGGAACGTGTGACACCAGTCGTAGACGACTGTGTAGACACAGATCGCATGGAAGGCATCATTCTCATCATTCTCATCATTCTCATTATTCAAATTATTCTCATCATTCTCATCCTCATTATTCTCATTATTCTCATCATTCTCATCATTTTCATTATTTGGCGATGCTGCGTGGGTAGTGGCGCATCCATGTCACCACAAAGTTCAACATATTCGGACAATGGCCATTTATTATAAATGCTATGAAGAAGGTGCATTGCCCGAAACGTAGTCTGTTATATATTTAAGGCAGTGCTATTGACGAATGTGTTTAGTCGTTTTAATTGAATATAGAGATGGGCAGATGTTATGACGACACTACATTAATGGGTTTCCAGTGAGTAATAGGAGCATCAACATCACAGTGATCATCATCAAGAGCCATGCTCTGTCCACTGCTGGATGAAGGCTTCGCCAATCTCTCGCCATCCCTCATGGTTCTACGAAGCCACCATCTGTCTCACTGCTGTGCATGCGCTGATCTCCTCGCTGCATGTCCAGGTACATCCATCACACATACGCACACAATGTATCCGATAATTTTTGGCAACAGTCAGGACGGACGTCTCAATACCCTGGGCTTCAGCGGGGTTAATTTCAGAAAAAGTGTAATGTGTGTTTTAATCCGTCCACGTAGTTTCACTCGAGAAAAACAAACCCTGGGCTGGAACGGTGAGGCATTGCTTGACGCACTGCACTGTGAACTCGGCTACTTGAGATCGATTCCCGATCACGACGAACAAGTCTGAAAAAAACAATCCGAGCCCCCCCCCCAACTCCCATCACCAACCGCGACGCCACGCGAGGCGGCTTTCTACCAGCAGTGGATCGACAAAGCGCTGTACGTTATTATTGTTATTAAGAATTACACACATAATGGACATTTGCGAAGTATATTCTTGGTTCTTTCGGTAAAGTCGCGTAGAAGGGAAACAATAAAATAATAAAAATATATGTATTGTTTCCCTTCAACGTGACTTTACCGAAAGA